AGGAGCAGCAGCAGCACCGCCGGAGGGCGAAGGAGGAGAGGCAGCTTCTCAGCCCCGGTTTTTAAAAATTGCGCAAGGTGCCCGGTGCCCATGGGAAATCGCTCTGCTTTCACCGGGCCTCCTAATTTTACGGCGTTTTCGTCTTTCTCCGACGAGCAGGGGCGAGGGGGAGGCCGGCATCTTCTCAGATCCCGCTTCGGTCCGGCCTCTCACAAGGGGAGTGGGAAAGTGGCACTGCCCCGCTCCGAGAGAAGGGACTTCAGGCTTTGATGCTGGCGATGCTCTGGAAGATGAGATAGTTTGGAAAACTACAGGGGTCCCAGGGAAAGCTCAGAGGAATTTGGGAAAGGAGGAAGTACTGTGGAAGGGAATACACTGAAGGGAGTGGAGGTCGAGACAGGGGGGCCCTGCTGCGGGCTGGTGACGCCCGAGATGATCAAAAGCATTGGGTCATTCTGAGCCCTGGTCTCAAGTGAGGTTTCTAAGGCATTGTCTCGTCTTTGGTTTCAAAGGGGGCGGGAGGAATTACGTGAGATGTGGGGAGACAGAGGGTGGGAAAAGTAGGCTGCTTCTGGTGTTTTGAAGAATTAAAAGTACACAGGTGTCAGGACTTGTAGCAGCTTGGCTAATCAGTTTTCCATTGAGGAGAGGAATGAGGAACACCAGAGATCAGTATCAGAAAATGGATGATATTCACACTTCTGGAACAGTAAGTTCATGTTTGCCAAATGATCAGGCAAAAGGCATAGTGTTTGTGGATTTTGGGCTAGTGGATATGAAAACCTGAAGATCTAGGGTGGTTGTTAACAATAAAAACAGCAATTTAGGTAACTTGGTGACATTTACAATAATAATTTAATCTGGAGTGGTTTAAGCATTGGGACTTTTGCGAAATGCAGCTGAGAGGCATGAAGTTTTGAGCTTTAGCCAAAGTTTGAGTACTGGTGGAACAGGATTTCTAAGTAAAAGCCCTGAGAAATGAAGTACACAAAAATGTAGCTGGTAAGAGGCCAGGAGCGAGTATTACTCTGTTGGGGGCAGAATTAGTTAATACCTGCAGCACACAATGGTTGTAGATGGCAACAACTGAGGTGGAGATAATTGTAAACATAAGGGGGAGAGTTTCTGCTAGGCTATGACTGAGAAATAATTCTGTCTTTTGTTAGTTGGGCTGAGGGATTCAAGTAGTCATACAAATTGCCATACTGTTACTGCTGTAACTGATGCCCCCTTGCATGAGAGAAATGGAGGGGAGGAGAAACAAATAAATTCCATTTTTACACTGAAATATGCCTTGCCCTCAGATAGTGACCTTAAATAATTTTTGCTGGCTTTGAGTATTTTATCTATTAAGAATTTTTAGATAGATGGAATAAGTGTGTATAATTCCTTGCCTATTGTATGTATGAGGGTTTCCTGTTTTTCATTCTCCCTCTTTCCATCATGTCCTAGATCTTCTCATGCATGACCAACTCATACTCGTTACCTGTCAGACAAGGTGCACTTAATCAGTATTCACTCAGGACAGAATTTATGGCCATATTTTGCTCATTTAATTTTAAGGGAATTTTCTGATAATCTTTTTTCCTGTAAATTACTATGTTATGCTTGAACTGGTACCACTTTTTTTCCATTTACAGTGGACATGGACATCCAATTAGGAAGGTCATTCTGCCATCTTCTCTCAGAGCTGAAAAGAAGCTTCAGCATTCAGGCCTAGCAGAAAATTCTACTCAAGCATGTACGATTCTCCAACTCTACTCTAACTCCTGTCATCCATGATCAAACCAGAAGCGAGGTACATATTTTCTATTGCAGTATCTAACTTCTGCATCTTGATGTGAAAGATATTTATTGTCACATTATTTTAAATTTGAGATGTGCATAATTTCATTTGAGCGTAAGTTAATATTCTCAAAAGACATAGCTTAAGTATTACATGACAGACCCGTCAAAGCTCTCTATAAATTAGCTGAGTTCAAAACCCATGTAGAGCACTTCTTAATTGAAGCACAGTGAACATCCTTTCACCCTTGTAAAACAATGGGTTGTGTAGGCTAATGTGCCCCCAAAACTTCATTATTCTGTAAAAGTTTGGGATTTTTTTTCTGTCTCTGCAGATTTAAGCATTATTTATTCTTTCAATACTCTGTTGTTTTTTCATGATCATTCAAATAAAGAAAATCTGAACTAGGTGGAAGACTCTAGTTTGTCTTCATTCTGTGCTGCTGGTGAAAGTTATAACATTCAGATGCCTAACAGAAAAATCTGTATTCAAGACTGCCATTTTTTAGCTAAATTTGAAATTCGCTACTAGGGATAATTATGGTTAAGTATTGAGACTTAACTGTTACCATATTGAAAAGAAAATCAGATATGCACAGCAATTTATAATGAAAACTATTCCAAATAAAGATGATGTCATAGATATTGAGTAGTTATTTAGGTAGGTAGGTGTATTTAATTTCTCATTTATGTAGAAAAAAGTTGCTCTTTAGACTAAAACAGCATTTCGACTTTCCTAAAAATGGCATTAGCTTAAAAGTAGAGTAGTGCAAATTGCATTCCTTGAATGTAAACCTGTCAACATAGGACTAACAAATAATGCATAATTTACATTTTTGCACATCTCAGTTTAGTTAATGAAAACCATTTACGTATCATTGCATTTAAGTTGGCTTGATTTGAGACAGTTTCAACTTTATGTTCTGTGTCTTTGAATAACTGTTTTAAAATATTTTCAAATGCTACAGAAAATATATACAAAACAAGTATTTTTCTTGAAAATGTATTTTTAGAGATAGATGCCATTGTGGTAATTGAATAAAGTTCAAACTTGTAAAATTTTTGATGGAGCTTTAGCTGACAGTGTTTAAAATATTTTTGATGTTCTACAATACAGTGTAATTTTAATAAAGTATAACAGTATAATGCTTTGTTGGATTTCTTAAGGTTTGGATTTCTTAAGTATTATCCATACCAAGTAAGAATTTCTTTACTTGCTTGTTTAGCTATGGAAAGCTAATGGAAGGAGAAGGATATGAGAGACCTACACTTTAGCTGTATTTCTAATTAGTTATTTCACATTGTGGTGCATTCATTTGAATGTTGACACAACTTTTTAGAAAATATTCACAACTTACTATCATTTTGAAACAGTGATCATTTTCTGATTCTGCTCTTTTCTGTAGTTAATGAAACCAGATTTTTCTGGTAATTTTTCATTCTATCTTTCCTTTTTGGCCTTGGCTTTTGTGTTAGATGAGTGAAAAAGACACTCTGTGCAAATTCATAAAAACAAATCTTAATGTAGCTGTTTTAATTATGGAAATTTACTGTTCTGTGGGTTACCTGCCCTTTGTTTTCCCTACTGACAAACATCTGAAGGAGTGTTCTGAATGTCAGCACTTAACTTCTTCAACCACATTTGTTATAACTAGTATCTAGCTATATAGAGGTTCAGTCAGCTTGAGAAAAAATAATCAAGAAGTAATTGATGGTGGCCCTGAGATCTAAACAATCAGAATTCCTTCTTTATTGGAAGTTTCTTCTGCCTGAGTTTTTCAACTGATGCTTTTTGAAGGCCATAAAATTAAATAAAAAAAGTAAAACAGGATATAATGTTGGGTCTGCACGTAGTCCAGAAAGCCCACGTAAAAAATACCCCAATAGAGAAGTAAAATAGATGAACCAATGTAGAATATGTTAAATCAAAATACTCTGGAAATGTAAATAGATAACCTGATCCATAAAGTTAAGGTTAAATTTCTGTTTAAAGCATAGACCCTCTCTATATATTCAGATGAATTGGCTTGAGTGGGATGATACAAAGGTCTGGGTAAGTAGTACTTGATATTACATCACAGGCAGACAAAAAGCTAAGACAAAAATTGAAAGTAATTTTTTAAAATAACTGTGAGAAATGTTGAAAGTATAAATTTCTAATCCGGCAAATAATTTCAGCTGTTAGTGGTTCAACTAAATAAAATAATTGTGAAAGGTGTAATATTGCCAATTCTTGCATATTTAATGGATTTTTTTTCTCTTGCATATTTTTCCTTATTGAAAATATCCATCATCTTCCACTATACCAATAGTGTGGTGCTCAGCTGCCGGCTGCGGTTAAACCACGGCACCAATGAAGCAGGAACAAAAAGTTGTCCTCAAAAAGATGGTAAGACCAGAGTTTTCAGAGTTAATGGTAGTTGCTGTTTCTTCTTCTTTTCTTATTCTCATCAGAGGGACAATACATAGCCGATGTAGCACAGTCATTAGAAACTAAAAATGTTGGAGCTGAAGAACTTCAGCTGAAGAACTGGACAAAGAGTGTAACCAAGAGCAGCCATAAGTCGGATGAGAAGAATCCATTGTTTCCTGAACTTAGTCCAACGTTTAGACTGATACGGAAATCAGAAGCTGCTGCTTTCCTTCTATTCCACAAAATTAAAAAAAATAGTGTCTTCATATGAAACTACACTGAATGCCCATATGCTTTTAATTTATGTTTAAAACTTACAGCTTCTGGTGAGTCTTTGTGTAACATCCTGTTTCTCATTCGTTTTACATGTAACTAATTTTCCACGATCTTAGACTTCCTTCCCCTAATCTAATCTCATTCTGCTCTTTTGTTTCATCTTTAATTATCAAGCATTTTAAAATAATAGTTGATTTACTATGTCTGTTTTGTATGCCTTCTCATATTGATATCTTCCTGCTATTCTTGCCTTCATACAGTATATGCATTGAGCTCTTTCTTTGTCTTTTTAATTTTTCTTTTCATTGCCGCCTTTTTCCTTTATTTTTGGTGGATTTTCTTTCTCGACAAACTTTGACTGGTCGGTTTTACAGGTGTAGAACACAAAAACCATGTGCTACATAAGTAGCAGTTACAGTTTTCAGATACTGTCCTCTGCTCCCTACAGTAGATATCACTTCTGGCAATTGGATACAGTGAGCACTGTATCGTATGTGGTCACTGGTGTAGCCTGTTTCAGGAAGAGGGCTCTGAAATGGAGAAGTGCTGCAGTGGCTTTCTCCTCTCTTGCAGACCTGGTCTTCCCACATTAACATCTTGTCTCAGAGAAAAAAATACTGTACTATTAAGAAAATTGTAAGTAACTCAAAGGGAAAAGTAATGAAATAACTGCTGGAAAGCAGTTTCTCTTGCCCTTCATGTCTAGCCTGCCTATCATACTTTCAAAATGTTTTATTTTTGCGTTCTTTGCTCCCAGATATGGACTGTACCTTCTGTGGCTCTCATCCAAGAGCCATCATGTAATTTCCAAAGATTTATAGTAAGTAGTGTTCCAAGTTCCCAGGAAGGGAACTGGATCAGCCCCCACAGAGCACCAAACCCCAAGCTGAGTCCATTCAGTTGCGCATACGGCACCAACCCACTCATAGTTAAGCTGTAATGGACTAGTCTGACTGCACGGTCACAGACCTCATTGTAACCCCCAGTTCTGATGAGTAGCAAAACATCAAGCTGGCTTTGTAGGCTGTTGATGTGGACTTCTGAAACTGGAATGCAGCTACACTGCTTTCAGGTGTGGCCTGGCTCTGGAAGTAGTTTAGTCACATTTGTATGGTGGTGTTTGGACAGGTGAGACTTAAAAGATTTCACCTGTAAGACTGGTAAGATCTACATATGCAAGCTCTAGTGTCTCTGCATCTTTGGCCTTGTTAATCTGGAATTTGGGTAAACAAACCCAGCATAACTGTCTCAGATAAAAGTGGTTATGTGCTGATCAAGCGTTAGATCAGAATAACGTCTCCCAAAAGCGCCAGAGCTAGCTGATTGAAAAAGGCATCTTTCAAAGGAGTAAATCATCGTTTACTCCAGGCCATGCCTATGTGCCAGGTTACTTCATAGAGTATTCCTACTGGTCTTTAAGACTTGCCACTTTAATTTTCTTTTAGTAGTGCACACTCTGTCCCTCTCCCGTGCCCTTCAGAGAGGCAGTTGGTACTGTAACCTTGCTAAGGCATTTGTAATTTTTAGGAATAGAGATTTTCATTGCTGTAGATTTTGAAATACACTCTTCTTGGACATGGATTGCATTAAGCAATTGAACAGTGAACATGCTGCAGATCACGATCGTGCTTCTCTGAAGCACACAGAATCAGTTCCAAATAAAATGTGTTGGGGTTTGAGTCACATACGTTTATTTGGGATGTCTGTAATCTATCCGTGCATCCCAGCTCTCATGCCCCGTTTAAGTGATCACAACTCTTAACCTGCTTTATCAGGGAAATGTGATAAAATCATAGCAGAAATGTCATCTTTTGTTGCCCTGAGTAAGCAGGAATAGCAGTGATAATTACCAAAAGTGATATACCTGCATATGTCTGCTTAGGAGCGTGCAGGAGGCTTTTTTTCCTTTGCCATTAAATCCTCTGCTAGGGTGGTAGTAGCACGCTCAGGCCCCCTGGAGCTGTCATGTTGGGAGTGCTCCTGGCTGCAGGCAAAGGGTGGCACAGAGCCAGAAGTGTTATTTTAGCAGCCAGAACATAAGTTATGCTCAGTTCATATTTTAAAACATTGAAAGCACATGCTAGAAAAAAATACATATGTTTTAACTTGAAGATGAAAATGACTGAAATGAAATGAAAAATAAAATAAAATGGAATCTGTGGCCATTGGTCTCAAGGATGTGTCTCTCATGATCAGCTGTCTGGCCTTCTTCAGATTACTTTTCCAATTCATTGCTCATGCCTTCGTGTTTTTTTCTTCTGTTAAGAACAAGCCTGAGGTCATAGCAACAGAAGGGTTCCAGTGGCCTGTAGTCACTGATAAGTATATAACCAAATGTTGTTCATAAACATAACAAACTGATCACATCTAGATAATAGTTGACATACTATAAAATAAAATCTAGTCATGCAATCGTAAGTTAAAAAAATCTTTTGGAATTTGGTACCAACACAAGTGTTTGTCTTTTAGATTTCATGTCTAGAAGTAGCCTATTCATCTGTAATGATATTTTACAAATAATAGAGTATATTAAGCCATTCTTTTTCAAAAGGTTATGGATACCTATTTTCAATACTTCTTTTTTCCATGACCCATGATGGGAAAAGAAATGTCTTCCTTCAGTGTTTCTGCTTTCATCTATTTGTAACTTGTCTCAGAGGTATATTAGGATACAAAATGAATGTGGCAGCAGAAAGTGTCATATATTATCACCTCTGTCCTACTCATTGATTGTAAACTGCAAGCACGAGACATTCTCCATGGAAATATGTTGATTTGTCTCTGGCTGTAACTGACAGTGAATCAACAACAGACTCTTTGTGTCATCCTTCGCTTAAATCAATAGGGTGTTTTGCTAAATTTGTAATGCTATTTTCTTTAGAAGCAACACAGTCCTTCGAACTGAGAAAAATTATATGCCACCATGATTAATAGTTTGAAGCCAAACAGCCTATGAGTTTCCCTTGTATGAGTCATGTTAAAAGGAAGTTACCGTATTTATATCTTAAATAATAGCAAAATTTTATTCTGAAATTAATAAATGTTGGGAATTTGCCTATAATTTTGCTTAATTTTGTTAATCAAACATGGAACAATATGTAATTTAATTTATATGAATTAACATTTAACTTGTAGAGCCTCTCTTTTGTGTATGGGCTGATAATACACTATCATTAGTCCTCTTACTTTCATTAGTTATCTGGCCTATGTGCAATAATTTCAGAAGCTTTTAAGACCAACCATCTACTTAGAGTGACAATCTATTAGGTACCTATTTCTTACATGCTGCTTTTATCTTTAAGTAGGAAAGATGAGGAAAGCTATCTGCATGTTGTAAACATGTCAAAAATCCAAATGTCTCTAGTTTCATTTCTAACACATTAAATATTTCGGCAAAGTGAGAAGGTTAACTTTTTTTTTTCCCCCTAAGAGAATTTAATCTCTTAATCAATAGGACTGAGTTGTTATAGACATTAATTTAGTCTTGTTTTGGACTGTATAAAACCATCCTTTACCAACAGGCTACCAAAAAGACAAGGAAACAATCTTTTCTTCTATAGAGATTATTAAAATTAATGTGCTTTTTATTTTTTAAGTTCACAGGATACAATATTCTACATTTTAAGTATTTTTTATGAGAAACGGAGAAAGAATACATTAGATCCAACAGACGTACCAAAGATTTGTGCTTAATATTCAGCATGCATGTTGCTTTTTAAAGGTCTTCTAACAGAACATAATCTTTTCTTTTAGCCTCATCCAAACTCCCGATGGTTTCCAAAAAACCAATTGATATTTTTCTCCAAATTTGGCAGAGGTTTTACACCTATTTTTTTGCTTGGTTTTGCTTTTTGGATGATGCAGTTGACTATTGTTAATTCTTTGATATATGTGCAGATGGCTGGGGCAGTAAAAGCAAAACTTCATAACTGTGAGGAGCACATTATTTATTAAGTTACGTGAAACTAGATTGCTAAGAGAGATGTGAAGGATCTCTGGAACAGATCTGTTCTCAACCAATTAGAGTGCTTTCCTAGAAACCCTCCTCCATGGTTGTACATCATACCTTTAGGTATATAGTAGAAGAAATTAAATGGCCTGAACATTCTCCCGTTTTATTCTTCTGACTCTTGGAGCAATGGTGAGAAAGGTAAAAATTACGAGAGGTTAGCTAGGTAAGATACCGCCACTGAAATTAATTAATTGAATATGGCTATGGGAAACAATATGCATATGAGTGAACTATGTGGCAGTAGCAAGCATTGGGTTAGTTTCACAACTTTACGGCATGTAAAGCTAGTTAGGAGAAGATTAAGGAAGAGTGAAGGAAAGAAGATGGATAAAAGGGCAGGGCAGGAAACAAAGGATGAGAGAGAGTGAAGAAAAAGGGTATATGACATGAAACTGGGATCTCAGAAGTTACAGAAGGTTGCAGAAAATAGCTAATGAGAATAGTGCAAAACAAAGCTCAAGGTTATAACTTTCTTTTTTCTTTTTGACTACACAAATCTCTCTCTGGCCATTTCTGCAGCTGTTTTCACTAGCACTAACTGCAACATATTTTCTGCCTTCAGCTATTCTCGTACAAAGCCATATAGATTGAAGCACAGCTAGACCCTAGCATCTGCATCATGGAGGAAGTGTCACTAGCACGTTTTGGAAAGGTTCTGAGAAGCAAGAGTGGCTGAAGAAGGAAAAGAAAGAAAAAAGATAATAAAGGTAAATCTTGTAAGTGAAGCATGCTGATAGTGAGAGTGGTAGACTTGGGCTCCTCCACGCATACCTATTTGCGTGATATGCTGAGTGCTTTCGGGTGCCTCACTTCTAAGAGAGATTCACTTTTGACAGAAACGGCGGCCACTGAGTACCAGGGAGCAGCAAGTGCAGGACTCTAAGGTTAAAGGTTAACCAGGAGCTGAGAGGAGCCACAGCACAGGATGAGCAGTGCCCTCATTGCCAGGGCACAGTCCAATAGCACGTGAGCTGGATAATCAATGCAAGGTGGTCACAGCAACAGATCCTAGGGACCATAAGGCGACAACAAGCCAGATCTAAGGTGAATCCAGGAAGTCCGAACAACAATGCAGGGATGGGGGTGGTAGATACACCTGCAGCGTAGAGTAACCTGAGGCTAAATGGATTTTCTGGGGCCATGGGTAGGGGTTGTGTGTGGAGGTCCCAGGTGGGGCTCATCAGAGCCATTACAGCCTATTGGCGCACTCAACCCTGACATTGAGCTTTTCAACTGATCAAGTCCAAATGGAGCTCTTCCATGACATAACTTGGCAGGTCAAACTTTGCAGTGAATACATGAATGTAGGGTATAATAACCAGATTTAAGATTGTACTGACCAGTCATGTTTCAGGTACACCAAGTTAAAAAGCTTCTGATTGTTTCAGATGACCTTAGGCAGGCATTAGGTCTCTTGTAGAAATTATATGGCAAACTGTTGTGATAAGAAATAGGTTTGTGATCGTTCCCATTTGTTTTATTTGGCTTAATGCATATACCTTAATGTGCAAGACAAGGACAAGTAAGCAGACCAGTGCTTGTGTTAAGCCTCGAGTACATGCTGAAGGCCAATGTTTTCCCCTTGCTGCATATTGGTAATAGTGGAAGATCTTGTTAAAGCCAACTCATTCTTGTGTGCAACCACAGGACTGAGCATTTTGTACTCCAGAAGATCTGAGTAAGCGCCCAAGTCTCCACCCTTCAAATCATGTGAAAGATTGTTTCATCTTGATTCCTGGCAGTTCTCAATTTTCTACTAACCCAAAGAAATAAAAAAATAAATAATCAAATATTTGGCAATAAAACAACTATAAATCTTCATAGGGATTTTATGCCTTTAACTGTTTTACTCAATCTCTACCTTTTCATACAATTACGTGAAAAGAAAAAAAATCCATTGAAGAAAACCCAGGTATGAGAGAGGAAGATTTATTTGATTGGGTTTTTTAGTGTGACAGTTACTCTGCTAAAGTCTGCAGCTTCTCAAGTAAAATAACAGCCTGAAATCAATGGGGTTTCATGAAGTGTGAGGGTATACCTACATGGCATTTCTTCTTGTGTTTGTGTTGAGCCTTTCAGTGGCAAGAAAGTCTTCACTGGACTCTGAAATAGAAAAGTATAAATGTATGCTGCTAACATTATGCTATACATTATAGCAATGGCAGAATCTGATCCTGGAACAATTAAAATCTCAGTATATTAAAGAAAAATAATACAATTATTTATTTTATGTGCTAAGTTTGCCTCTGTATGACTTAATACCCTGCTACTGAAGCAGGCAAAAATGCAAGGATAACATAAACGTCTTTTTCCTCCCCCAAGGAATGAACTGTATTTAACTGAATTGCTGTGGTTTTTTACATTTTCTGGGATATAATCAGTCAGAATCTGTACTCGTGAAAATGTTTATAGGCAACATTGTGTATAGGCAACAATGTGTTAATATTAGAGAATGAACACAATTATTTCTATTGGCTTTCCTGTTTTTATCTGTCTGTTTAATCTGTCTGTATCTAGCTAATTTTTAGGTGTTTCGGTGCTTCACATAACCACTTCCTATTGAAAAAATAGAACTCAAAGCATACTGTAGATTACAGGTAAATCTATCTATCGCAGGTAAACATGCATATTTAGATTGTGCCAGCATGAACTTAGATCAATGAACAGAGTTCACAATTAAATCTCACATTGGCTTCTAAGTAGTCAGTAATTGCAGAGCCCTGCTGATTTAACACTCTTGTTCTCTAGAAAGAAGGCTTATGCTGCAGAATGGGAAATGAAGCTCAAGAACTTTCCTTTCTATAAGAAAGTAACTGATACTTTTTGTCAATGTGTTTTAATTCACCTGAATAAAGCCACTTGTATTTTTGGCATATAATAGCAAACTGAACCCATAATGAACACAAAGTTAGTGATTAAGACCTGCGAATAGAATAGCATCCAAATGGTTTCAAGTTTCTAGGGCAGTAGAAGCCACTAGAAACTACCCAGCATGTAAATAAGCACGTAGCTAAAACTTGTATGACAAATGAAATTATTTGGTATCCAGCTGGGTTCATGGGGTTTCTTCATATACGTCTGTATTAAGGGTAAAATTACACAGAGATATAAATACAGATATACAAAACAAAAAGAACTCACACAACTAAGGCTATTTCATCACACTTCACTTTGTTCGTACACATCTTTTAACATTAAAAAAAAATACATGAAGGCTACTGCATAGCTCTTCATATATTTTATGATAGTCTTCTACATTCCAAAAGTTGCCAGAATCTTTAGAGGAATATGTAGGAATATAAAAGAAAAAGGAATTGCAGTAATTCCTGAACCTCAGCTGTGAAGAGGAGAGGGTAGAAGCATCTTATTTTCTGGAATAATTCACTAGAAACAGATTTTAGAAAGCCACAATGAAAGATGCATCATAGACATCTAAGAGTTGTTCTGAATAATTTTACAAATGGTACACTTTCTTGGATTCTAGTTTAGGATTTTTTCTTCTCTGTTACGATACAGAAGCAGCTTTAGACATTGTTCAATGCAACTTTATCCCGGAGCCTTAAAAATTTCTGTGAAATTTCTTGCTTAGAACTTTTGGGCCCTTTAGACCTTGACTGTCAGGGTAGCTTCAATTCCTTGTGTCATGTGAGTATGCTGCTGTTGCAAGTTCGTCTAGCCAAGTGACCCTGAGGCTTTTTTTGTGGCCTTTCATTTGGTACTATCTCTATTATCACTGACAGTAATAAAGTCAATGTATTACCTTTCTTTATTCTGACTTTCTACCCTGCAGCCAGGAAGGATCATTTTGGAAGATAACAGTAGCTCTTCTTTATTATGGTGATTAAATATAAGAGAAGTCTTACAGAACCTTAATTTAATTCGTTCACTGACCCCCTTCAAACATTAGAATTAATTTCTTTTGTCACAGGCTAACCAGTTTTCTGCAACAGAAACAAAGTATATGGTTGTAGTGTTTGTGTGGCTTTTTTAAAGTAATTTAGCTGTTGCAGAAGAGCGACACCATTCATCGCAACCAGAACTTGGGAATCAACACAATCAGATACTGAGAGTCCAGACTGTAATAAGTACTTGGTTTGTGACTCAGAGCTGCAGAGGACTGTAATGTCTGAAGACATTTATAGTTGGAGGATGAAATATGCTCTTTGTTTCACAGAAAGGAAAAGGCATGGAAACATGGAAAGGTAAAGACCCAGCGTTCGAATAATGCCAATTGCCACCTTAGTGAGACATGATGTAAACCTTCCAGCATGCTAGGATGTAAATCTGACCTGCTATAACCAGGTCCAAAATTTCAAACCAACTTACTCAATACCTACATTTTATCTGAAGCCATAAAAACTTACTAAATATAAATATATATATATAAAAAAATAACTCTGGTAAATTTCTTCCTTGATGGTTATTATTTAAGCACCCTCTAAATATTCTTAGGGTTATTCTTGCACACTTTTTTTTTTTTTTGAATGGTCACAGGGGGTCAGTAACACCCAATGGTGGTGTTATTGCAAAGGTTAGTAACATCCAAAATATCTTCATTACTTCCTCTGCCTAATAATAGAGTGTAAATTCTTTGGGAACAGGGAATGTCATTATATGGTTTTATTACAGCATCTCACCTGCATAGCTCAGCTATCACAGTGCTCCCTTTTAGTAGATCAAATAGCTTCTGACCTCATGATATTGATGTAGTAATCTTTCTGCTGACAGCTCTTCTGATTTTGCAAGAGTTGCATTCAGAAGCACAGTCATTGGTTAGTGCAAAGGAAGGAGGGAGTTAAGTCGCACTACTCCTAATTGTTACTAATTTTCAGTGGGACCTTGGATCTGTCATAAGGTAAGATTCATATTTAACAAAAAATTCTCTGAAATACCTTCTTTATGTCAGCACTGTATCGAGGAAAATTTTTTAAAAAGCTGCAGGGAGATTTGTGTTTAGTCAGCATCCTACTGATGTTCTCCTCCCATCTGGGATGTTAACGCCAGAGAGCTTGATTTCTTTAGCTTATTTTTAGATTATTTTTCTTCACAGTGTAATTACTAGAGCAGCATTGTAATGCTAGCAAAACCCAAAAGCTGCCAGACCTGAAACACTACAAAATGGCTGGGAAGAACCTAAACTAAACCGGTGATATGAATTTGATAGGGATTCTTCCTCCTTCAAACAGAAGATACGCTCTGTTTCTCTAAAAGGACGTGGATCTGCCAATCAATTCATATAAGTAAACACCTTTACCCATAGAGAAAACAAAGGACTATGGCATTCATTACTTCTGCCCACTCTTGTTATATTTCATACCAAAGACTGTAATGGAAATTGAAGGATAATTTTTAATACAATTAAATAACAGTGAAGTAATGATACTTTTCATTCCCATAGCTTTTCAATGTAAAGATAATTATTTTCCCAGATCTCTGTAGAATAGGCATGTATCATCATCCTTATTTTATAGAGTACAGTGAAGCACAGCAAGGTTAAACAAATTTCTCAGAATTAGAAAAAAAAAAAGGAAAACCAAGAATAGTACTCTAATTTCTTGTCATCATGTTCTGTTCTGTTTTCACAAGATCAGCCTTTATTAAGTTGTCATCTGAAGCACCTTTTAACAGGTTATACCCATGAAGAATTTAAATGAGAGGCTTCTAAAGTTCATTTAGGAGATGAACTATCAGGAGATATAAAAAGCATTGCACTGAAGATGAGTTTTGTCAGGTATACACGGTTTAAAGTCCCTGTCATGCTGCTCTGTAGGATGCAAATTTCTTGTGGACTTTCTTCTCATGACTGGAGTGCTCACCAAAACAAAACCAAAAATG